GGGGCTGCACCTAGGGATTGGGCCTGCCCTCTGCCACCCAGGAGCAGGCTTAAGCCAGCAGGGCGTTATCTCCCAAGGGGTCCCAGACTGGGAGAGGGCACAGGCTGGTCTGAGGGAACCCCTCTTCCCGCCGAGTGCACAAATTTTTGTGCACCGGGCCTCTAGTTTTAAATAACTCTGGCCGGGCTAAAATCACTTCCCCTGCCCTAAACTACAGGACTATGAGGATTCAGCCTGATACACTATGACCATTCATGCCCAGCATATTGTTGCAGCTCTTACATGCAGGGTCATCTCAGTCCACACAAAGATTTGGCATTTGAATTCTTGTTCCTTCTCCTACCTCCCCTCACTGATACTCAAGACGATAAAAAGCACAAACACACCTTTTGGATAGTCATAGAGTCAATAATTGTAGGAACTAAGACTCGAACCCAAGCCCTCTGCCTGGTCTAAATCCTATTGGTTTGTACTAAAACCCCAGCTGATCTGTTGGGCTTGGAAGAGAATTGTTACTACTATTCCTCCCAGGATGCTGTATGGGGCTTCCAGTCTGCAATTACCCAGGAAGACTCAGTGAAATGTATCACCGAGAAACTGTGGTGTGCTTTCCGTACAAACAGGAAGTGCTAAGTGAGTTTTGACAATTTCTCCTATAACTCCTCTTGATTACTGTTATTGGAATGTCTAAACTTTAAAAAATAATAAGTACCACTTAGGAGCAATTGTTATTTTAGCTGCAAATTAAGATCATAAGTCTTCTGTTTAAAAGGCAAACACGTGTTTAACGGAACACTTCCAAAGGCGCACGGCTGTGATTCCCTCACAGGCAACGGATGCTTGGGTGGAATTTTTCATCTGCAAATTAGGTTAGTTTATGGCAGAAAATGAAAAGTCATCACCAGACAGACCAAGAAATGGGGCCATTCTTTACCTGGAAGGAGCAATTAGCTGAAACATCTGTGGGGAAAATTTCTCTCTCGAATTTTGTCGGTTTTAAAAAGCTTTGAAAGAATCGCTCTAAAGTCTCAAGGACACGCCTAATTATGGCTTACCCCGGTGGCCACTCACAGCTGCCTGTTTACTCACCCTGAAGTGGGAGTTGCAGAAACACCTTGAATGAGGCCACACCCCATGAGGAGTCAATTCCATCCAGCACCTGGTTCCAGCTCACAACTTCCTTGTGCAGGGCTGGGCCCCTTCACTTACGTGATTCTACCTATACATAGGCAGGTGCCCTATCTACGAAAGGACAGGCTATCACTCTATCTTGTTCTCTGCTAAATCCCCCCACAGGGGACAGGACGCTTTCTTGGAACATTACCTCACTTGTTTAATTTTCTAGATAATTAGGAAAGATAGTAGGAGAACGGGAGCATTCTTCATAGTTACTGGACATTAGTCTGCTCATCAGATACAGGTTGGTTTTTCTTTATAAATGTTACTGATCACTTCAAAATGAACACACACACACACACACACACACACACACACACCCTCCAAGAAAACCAAAAAGACTCTTTTCCTCAAGACTGTGTATTCTGTTTAGCTCTGACCATTTTCATTTATGACAAGTTGGGTTCGTTCCATTTTAGTGGCAACTCCTTTAGGAAATGCTCTTTTAAAACCTGTGTTTGGAGAAATGAAGTTAATGGGCCAGAACTGGTTTATCATGAAATACTCATCAAGTCAGGAAATAAAGTTCAAACCCTTCTACCCTCAGGTGAAGGGGACCCGTTGGTAGGACACTGTCAGAGAACTATCTTAAAAGTCATTGTTTTAGTGCATGAAGAGAGTTCTAGAAGTAGTAAACTTGGATTCAGTACTATTGCCTCTTGCCATCTATAATTTAAGAAAGGGGGTAAGACATTTAATTCACTAAGTCTAATAAAATGGTCAATCATGTTAAATTACATGCAGAATTCAAGAGAGGCAGGAGTTACCCCCTCACCTCGCCCCACCAACACCTAATTTTTAAACACTCTCCTAATGTGTAATAGCATTTTGGAAAGCTAGAAGGACTTGGGTTCTATATGAAAGAAGCAGAATGGTTTGCCTCTCCCCAATCTAGGGCTCTCTGTACCCAGAAAAGGGTCCATTCATTCGGAATGCGAGCCCTTACTCCCCCAGAGGGAGCTGGGCAATGACCCACACCTGCTTTCCCAGGTCCTAGTTTCAATACTCCTTACCAGCCACCACACTACCTGTCAGCAGTATATGCCCACACGTTACAATGAACTAGATCTCAGTTTACTCCGCACTCCTTACAGTTTAGGTTAATGTCTTTCTGATGAGATTTGGGAATGGTTAATCATTGCCCTGGTCCATTGATTCTCATCAGCTTTCACTTCAGAATATTACACTTAATAACCTACCTGGAACACCAACAAGGGACCGTGCATCCAGGCCACCTTGCCTATAGCTCTATTAGAATATTTCTACTGAGTGGAATATTAGCTTATTTTAAGACTGTCTCTTCCAGCAGAATCCCCTTGAAGACAGAAAATATACCTTATTCTTGTCTTGCACACATGTGTGTACAGTGAGCAAATTATTGAATAAATGCTTAAATTCTTCTACTTGGAAGCACAAACAGGGACATAGCAACCTGCTATAATGCATTTATTCAATCATTCATTCTTTTATTCTATCAATATTTAAATTGCACAGGAGACATGAAGAGGAATAAAACAAGTATGACCTCTGCTCTTAGGATGTTTGTGGTTAATGGAGGAGACAGAATTTGAACAAGTAATCACACAAGTAAATATCCAATTGCAAACTGTGACAAAGTAAATGAAGAAAAGGAAGGGCAGTAAAGGACCTTGAGACACTGAGGAAGGGATTATATTTATTCTGAGATTGAAAGAATGAGTAGGAATTAGCCAGGAGGAGAGAGAAGGAGAAGACAAAGTTTTCTAGGTACTGGGAACAGCATGTGCAAAGGTCCTGAGGTGGGAAAGCACTTGATGCTTCAAGGAATTGATAGGTCAGTGTGACTAGAATTTAGCAAGAAGAAGGTGAAGTAGGAGCAATATGGGGATCTAATTTCTCCTTTTCCCTGAATATCCTGAAAGTATCCTTATTTAAAAATAACAAAATGAAATCAAGCAAAGCTTTGTACACCAGCTGCAGGGTTTTAATTCTGTTCTCGGGGCAATAGAAAGCCTCTGAGCAGGAGAGTGGCAGCACCAGATCTGCATTCAAAAAGGACATTCTCCCTGTGATAGCCTGGGGGAGGAAAAAGGAGGAAGTAAGAGCAATAGTGATTGGCCAGAGGGCCACTGGAAGTCAGTGGGGTCACTGGACAGAGTGGGGATGAAAGATAGGTTTGCTATGATGTTGGAGGTAACTCTCAAGGTCTTGGGTGATGGATTTCATATGTGGTGAGGGCATTCTTCAAGCTACCCTAGACCCCCCCCCCTGGGCAGGCCTGGGATAGGAGAATTGTTTGATGATGCACATTAACAAGCCCCAAGGTGTCCCCCTGGATCCCAGTTCCGGCACAAGCTGCACACACACTACCCCAGCCCTTGCCACAAGGTCCTACGCTAATCCAGGTCCTGGCCCCACTGAAGGAAGCAGATGTTTGAGTGAACCAGGCACTGGGTCTTGTGAACAGATGTCAAGCAGGGTGCACCCCTCCACCCCTGGGGTTTCCATATGAGAAGCCCCTCCTCCACCCCACCGACTTGACAAGCTCAGTTTTGCCAATGACTGACTCTCAAATGTCACACAGACAGTGAAATCTAATCTCTCCTCTTCCTGGAGTGGCCCATAAACATCCTTCCTTTAAAACAACCAAATGAAAGCCCTGCTTCCCACTGTGAGTTCTGGCCTTGGCTGCTCCAACTGTCAGGGCCACAGCGGAGGGCCTCTGGCCTCCCAAGCTTTCCCCCTGTGCTGTGCATTCCCCCTGCTCCACCCTGACATGCTCAGCTCTTCTTCAGACACCCTTTGATACCCATTTCCCTTTTATATGGCCCCCATTGTCGAAAGCAGTTTGTTTGTTTTTTCCCTGCTGGAGACCAATCCAAATTCTTCTGCTTCTCACCCCGACCCCTGGATCCTCTCCCAAACCCCAAGTGCTCACTCCTCACAGTCCCCAGCCTGCATTCCACAGCGCCAGCCCTACTCTGCAAGATGCCCCCGCTTTCCCTTCTGTTAATATACAACAGTCCTCACAACCTTTTCTTGCTTGGCCCTCTCCCTTCCATGGTGGAATTTTACAAAATCAGATCCTCCAGTTAAGGGACCGGATGCTTTCCTAAGAGGGACCACCAGATGTGTTTCAAAGCCCCAGGAGAGACCCCATTCCTCTATTTCAGAATGAGTGTGTACTCTGAATCCAAATGTCTCTTAATTTTGGATGCTCAATGGATTACAGTTACACAGAAAACTACTGAGTGCCTACTGTATGCTTCGCAGAGAGATCTGCATCAGAGGGAGCACATCTCCCTCCCTCTTAAGTCCTTCCACTGATTTCAGGTGGGGAACTGGAGATGGGTGCTCTGGAGGGGAGTACGGGGAGGAGGAAGCTGTGTCCTGGCTAACCACAGGAAGGCACAGGGGGACCCTGGCTGTCCTCCCCTCAGGGGCGGGGCTGAGTACTTGGCAACAGAGGACTGGCACTGAGCTCATGGGCTGGGGGTCAGGGGAACCATAGCCATGACTTCGGCCGCCTGATAATTGAGAGTTAACTGGATGCAAACTTGGGGTTATCCAGCAGCTCTTTTATCTCCTCCCATCCCTCCCTCTTAGTAAACTGAGGGCCAAGAGTGACATCCACATGCATGATGAAAACCAGGGGTTTACATCAAAGAGAGGGTGGTGCACCCAGCAGCAGAGCCCTCCCCACATCGAGCCGGCTGTGCCACACAACCACAACCACCATCGCAGACACCAGGGCCACAGGAAGGACCACCAGGGTCCAGCACCCGTTCCTTCTCAGTGCCTGGGCCTCTCCACACTGCGGAGACTCCGCCTGCCACTGGGAGGAGACCTCTGAGATCCAAAAGCAGCAGGTGCAGATGGCTCAGAGGTCCGTTTTAATTCGCAGGGCATTCCCACTGCCCTGCCAACTCACCCTCAGGCTGATGTCCTGGCAACGCCCCTCAGAACTGATCCCAGACACCACAGCCAGCAAAGAGCTCTACCAAGGCAACACCAAGATCATCTGCATGCAGGGGAGAGGCCACCCCATCCTGCCCATTTACACAGGCAAGTGTGTCCTGAGGCTGGGACCTAAAACGCCCTCTGCAAGCACCACAGTTTTATGGAACCGAAGAGGAATGACAACAAACTCCGTAGATCAGAGGAAGGAGGAGGGGTCTGTTCCCTCCCCCTGATGCTCACACTCCAGTTACAAAATAATTCACTAACTTGTTTAATATCCTTGCAACTCCAGGCACCCTGAGTCCAGAAAACTTAATTCTGTGCTAGAAGAAAGGCGGATCTTAGATCAACACGGCTGCACTTGGGCAGGTGGGAAAAGACACACCTGTTCTCATCTCCCGCTTCCATACTCACCTGCCATCTTCCTGCGCTTCTTCACTGCCAAACCAGCATCCCTCTCACGGTTGGCTATGCACAAAATGTCCTTCTGTTCCCCCAGTCACATCAAAGCACCTTCA